TAAGTCGAATAAAATTGAAAGATTACTCTAGGTACTTGTATTTGACGCTGTCTCTGAAGATGGTTTTGACCTGGAAGCCGAAACGTGAGGCAAGCTTGTATACTTCCCAAGACAGGTGGTCGTTTGCTGGTAGTAACCACTAGCGGAAGTCAATAATGCCCGCAATTTGAATACCTGCTGGATGATTGCGCGCCCAGATGAGATTTTGGCTTATTTGAACCTGACAACGCCTGCAAATGGCAGCTGCAAATGCAGGATGCTTCGTTACGTGGTAGTTCTTCCGGTTGCGTCGCCTTATATAAGACAATCACTTGGGTGACCAGGCCTTAACTACCAGGAAAGATATACTGCCCTCGCAAGTGCTCAGTCCCCTCGTTGAGCTGGAGCGCCGGTGTCAACGCGGGCCTAGGTTCTAGCAGAGACGCTTCCCTCGCCGAATGCGGTCGCAATATTTCATTAGCAGTTTCTTCTTAAAATGATGACTGCATTAAAATGCACAGAAAGAAACGGATAAAACTACCAGAGAAGACAGAGAGACATGATAAGGTATTAGCAAGGAGCCACCGCAAGCATGCTTAAGCTAGTGCCACTGACTGATTCTCGTGCAAGCAATATGTAGTCCACTCGTTATTAGAGAGCGATCGCCACATGGGGTCCACCGGAAGTGTCGGATTGGCCGCTGTGATACAGTGAGAGCTGTGAAGTGAGAGCTGACCTCGGGGACTATGATTTTCAGATAACCTTAATAGATTTGACAAACACAATTTACTCAGCACGCGTTAACTTCTGACTGCGACGCTGCTAAGCTATGTGCTTTTAACTCCAGGCACATAAGGATGTGTTACTGTGTTTAAACTGTCTTTTATTTGATGCGGCTGTGATCATGCCTGATCTAGCTGGCCTCGATGATATCACGTAGTTTACTTCACTACGTGTGACTATTTGCAGAAGCGGATCTGGAAAGATCAACAAAATCTCTTCTTCAACGACGGAGACCGATTACCGAAGGTTCAAGAACCACTTCCATGTCTTGCGGAACTG